CCATCGTCACGAATCTGCATGACCAAAGCATTTGCAAAGCAACAGCACGCTGCGGGCCCTTCACGGCCGCATCAGGGAGGCCTGCCAGCACAGGAAGCGCTCGAGTCCAGAGCATCTCGTTGCCTTCCACATGCTCGGGGATGTGCCTCAGGACCTGCAGGCCCTGCCAGCGGCGGACTCCTTCAGAAACCAAAGTTCGGAGGTCACGAGGAACTGACTGGAACAGGGAGGAGGCTTGGCCATCGTCACTGGTGAACACAGTGGGGCTTGCCATGCTCTATCCAATCGTGAACAACTTTAACCAGCAAGCTGCCAATGGGCCACGAGCACCGATCCACGCTGGACGCAGCACCGACCACTTAGCACCCTAGACGCGCCAAGCTCGCTCCAGTCTGCCCAACTCCAGCCTCTGGCCCCACACGAAGCACGCGTACATAGGTGTGATGGTCTGGCCTCGAGGATTGGGTCAATGAATTTGTCCCGTTGCGTGCGTTGATCTGTTGCAAAGCCCGCGCCGCCCGACTTGACCCCGCACGCCGCTGGAGCCGTCTGGCGCAGCTTCTGCAGGCTTGGACCTGGAACTCCAGGAACGCTCGCACCGTGCGCCGCCGAGGGCGACAATCCTGCTCGCCACCAAGCATGCACTTCGTAGCCCGCAACTCGCTGCATTGTCTTGAACCGAGGCATGCGGGCCTGCAACTTAGCCTAACGTGCCCTCGGCATTGGACCGGCCACCCGTCATGAATACAAGTCGCGGCCCAAGTTACGAATGACCTTCTTGTGCTTGATGCGCAACATAGTAGCCCAAGGTGAGAAGGCCTTCCCAGCGGCACGCTTGATGCGAGCAAGACCCCACTTGGCGGGTTGTGCGACGAGGCCCAGCTCGCGAGCCTCCTGTGTGAACGCGCGCGTGGCCAGCGCAAGCTCCTCGAGGCGGCTGAGCTCGGCCTCGACCCACTGCAACATCGCATCGTCGACCAACGCTCGAGGCGGGACCAGGGCGCATGCCTTCTGTGTACTGATCAGGGCCCCGAGCATCAACATAGTCAGCAGCACGGTCGCATGGGTGCAACCTGGCAGGATCCCTTGCCCCACCTTCCCCATGATGCTGATGCCCCCGTAGGCCTCGACCACTCGAGGCATGCAATAATAAGAGATTAGCTGCCAGAGCAGTCGCACAGGATATCCCACGGCGCGAGCGTCGACGAACAATTGGCTCAGAAGCATCATGTCGAAGCACTTCAACATGCCAATCCTAACCGACAACGCGTGCTCGTCGAGCAAGTCCGCCACCTCTGCGGCAGCGTTGTGAGCAAATGCCGAAGCCGAAGATGAGCATCCAGCACGATTGCGCCTGACCATGTCCGACGGGTGCTCAGATGCCAACTGCCTCGACAACGGACGATGCACTTGAGCCGGAACTCTGAGTGTGTTGATAAGGGCCACCAGACGTCCGCCTCCTCTCCCCTCCCTGGCCATCTCGGCATAGATCCGATCTGTGGGCCACGGAAGCAATTCTTCACACTTTATGAAAAACCGGCGATGGCCGCCAAACCTTGTCGAAAGTAACGGCAGTGATATCGGTTGTGTTCTGTTCGGATTTGTTCCCGTCTTCCACGAGAAAGGCAGCGCGGTGCCAATCATCATATCGATGGTGATACAGGGAAAAAAGGCCACGGTCTATGACTTTTCGGGCGAGATCACGGTTCGGCATCGTGGCATCGCCAAGCCGTCTTCCAAATTTCCACTTCATTGTTTTCGTCCAACTCAAACGGCGATTGGTCCCGAGCAGTTCCACCAGCCCCTCTCACAAAGACCTTCTCGACCCAACCTGTCCATTGGGCCTGGCCCCGACTATCATGAGCATGCTGTAGCCTATCCCTCTCGTCTCAAATTCTCTGGACCTGGCCTTCCAAATCTGGGTCAGCCAACAATCTGAACTCAGAGACCTCCTGGGAGAAATACTCGGTCACCCAGTCAGACAAATGCCGCAGGCAGGCCGCCTTCCTTACGTTGGCGACGAAGCGCGCGCATTCGGCGACGACGGTGGCCAGCGGACGTAGGACTGCATTATCATCCACCACTTCCAGGCTGGCCTTCATCGCCAGTAGCTTCTCCACCAGACACATATGGTAGGTGCGCATGTCAGACATGTAAGAAGCCCAACGGCCTGCCACGATCATTGCTCGCAACTCAGGTCCCAATTGCATGCGCTGCAAAGGTTGGCGCCACTGGTCCTTCCGCACGTGAGCGTCGATGGTTGCCGCACGCCCTGAGTGCTCTCTGGCCTCACGGCCGACCCCCAACAGTTCGCCCTCGATGCAGGCCAGCATGGCGCCCCAGGCATGTCGCATCTCCCACTCGCCCTCGGCGTAGGAGGTCCGCTGCTCCAACAAGTCCCAGCCCACTGGAACTCGGGCGGCCCCAGGGGAATAGGCCTTGGGCCCGACCACTGCTCGCACCCAAGCTGGTCGCTCGACACCTGGAGATGGTAGGTGAGATGGTCGATGCATATCAACGTTCGCGTCGTCCAAAGCCACAGGGCGTCGCACTTGGTGGCCAAGTTGATGCAGATGAGGGCATAGTCCAGCACGCTGCCAGGCAGCTCACGGACACAGGTTGGCCTCGCAGGAGTCGCCAGGAAGCCACTGACTCCATCCAGCCAGGCTCGACTGAGCAAATTAGGCGTGAGATGCCAATCGCCCATGACTCCAATCACGGCATGCACCATTCAGCTTGCCCAACAATTGCGCTCGCGTGAACAATAGCGCGTCGGTCTCTGGTGCGAGACCCACGCCCAAGACGAGGTAGACGGCCACGATTGCCAAACCACCCGGCACTCCCTAAGCGGCCAGACCCGACAACGGAGGATTGATCGAAGGCGAGTTGGCCGAGGTCCTCGCTGGACGGGGTGGCCGACGCGGCCCACGGCGCTGCTGCGCCAGGACGGGGTTGTCGACAAGCCTGCTCGGGGAGAGCGGGGGGACTTACGGCCACGCCATTTCCCACCAACGTTGGAGATATCTGAAGGGCCCAGCCCACCATCGCCAGCACCAGGTGTCACCGACGAAGACGAAGCCCCACCCATGTTGGAAAGATTGGGCCTGTTGGCGTGGCTGCAGACGGCCTGGCCGATGCCCTCGCTGGAGGGGGTGGCCGGCGTTCCAGGGAGCAGCGGCCATCCTGGCGGCCCAGCGGCAACATGCAGCCTGGGATTGGATAGCGCACAGCCTACCCAAGGAGGAGGATGTAATCGTGAGTGAAGGGGTCAGCGCCCCTGAAACCTTTGGAATCTGCCTGGGGCTGGAGGTATCCCTTTTGTCTGGAGGCTGAACAGCCCCTCAGGAAATCATCTTGAGCCAAAATGGCTACGGACGAGGAAGCAGGAGGAGGAGGGAGGAGGAGGAGGGAGGAGGAGGAAGAGGAGGAAAAGGAGGAGGAGGAGGAAAAGGGAGAAGGGCTGGAGGAGCAAGAGGGAGGAGGAAGAGGCGGAGGAGGAGTAGGTTTGACAGAGCGGGTCTGGGAGAGCGCGCTGGTAGAATAGGATTGGCTCTGGGGCCTCCTTCCAGGCATTGCCCCCAGACGGGCCCAATGGAGGAGGGGGAGGAGGAGAAGCGGAAATCGGAGCAACTTGGGCACTGACACGAGCTGGGGAGCGAGGTTGAGGACGTTCGTTTCATGACGAACGCGCACCTTCCCGTCTTCACACCGAACAACGCCATCTTCGCAACGAGCAATGCCATCGTCATAACCAGCAGTGCCATCTCCATCACGAACAATGCCGTACCATCACGAGCACTACCCGTATAGTTGTAGCGTTTGTTGGGGATTGGTTTTGTTTACATTCTCTCTGTTCGGTTGATCGGTTTGCCCGTGAAGACTCGCATTGTGATCTGGCGTCAGCCGTCTTTCCCTTTGCGTCCGATGTTCCTCACCCTCTTCCCCTCATCGGTGATCTTTTAGGTTGAACAGGATTTGGGCGCAAGATATACTATTGAGCACCCCCCAGCGCGTTATAGCGCGTTTTTTTAGTTATCACTTTATCTCTCTCTCTCTCTCTCTCGTGTTGTTTCTTTCTCTCTCTCTCTCTCTCTCACTCTCTCGCTCTCCCTCGTTGTTCCTCTCTCTCTCTCTCGTTCCCCTCTCTAGTTGCCGTCGTGGGTGTTGAGGTGTGTTCAAGTGATGGCCGTTGAGGTCTTGGGGGTGTTCACACGACGCCAGTCTGCTCTCGTTGGCCTCAGTCTCCCAGTGGGCTTTCAATGTTCTGCGACACGTCCGTGACGGCTGCTTTGGTTACTCGGCGTTTCCATGTTCCCTCGAATATCGGTGGCTCTCTATCAGGACAACTGTTGGTTGGGCTTCCTCGGGGGGCAAAAATTCGGGCACGCGTCATTGCATCGACGTCGCTGTCGCCGCACTGCCGAGGCAGCAGAGGCAGGAGACTTGGCCGAGCCCTTGGGTGAGGGCGTGGAGCCAAAACGAGTGCCCGAGGAACACTCCAGAGAGCATGCCTCTTTTATCACGCGCGTGTGTGTGTGCACGACGCCCGTCGCGCGTCCACTGCCAGGTCACTTCAGCCCCGGCTGACCGCACCGGCGCGCTCATCCTGAAACGTTCTCTGTCCTCCGCCGCCGCTCCTCCGCCACGCGCACTCCCCCCCTCTTTTGCAGCTGGGCCATTCGTTTGCCGAGCGCCCCGGGCAACTCGAGCGCCCGTGCGGATCGCCTCTGCCGTGCCGCGACGAAAAAGTGCACGGCACTCATACCGTTAAGTCGGGCCTGTCCCGCTACAGGGGGAATATTCAAAAATAGTCCAAGAATGGTCTGGGACTATGTTTTGACTATTTGTGCGCATCTTTTGAGCATTCTATGGGTATTTTTAGGGGGACATGCCCGACCTAATCATACCGCATTGCACCCCAATCGTGATGACAACTGTGCTTGCGTCATGCTGCATGCCCGGTGACGCAATCCCCTGCTCTTCCCATAGCCTTTCGCGAGGCTGCGCCGTCTTCCATGAGGCGGTCAGAGTCGCCGCTGCTGGCTGCCGGCCAGCAGGCGCGGTGGGTGGGTGCTGCAAACCTACACGTCGTTGATTTCTAATTATTCGAAAATTCCTTAATTTTGGGGGGGGCAAGACCCTTTCATTTCTAGTTGTTCTATCCTGGGCCTCTTCCTGGCCACTAGGGGGCCAGGAACAATTAGAAACGAGCACAATTAAAAATGAGCACGATTAGAAATGAACGACGTATCGTCATGATTGGTGTCTCTCGTGTCGCCTTTAACCCATCCGGAGCCGATTCCGAAGCGAGGGGGGGGGCAGTGCTTCAGGATCTGGGTGGGGGGGGGTGACTCGTCCACGAAGTGGAAGAAGGGGGCGTGGAAGAGTTGGCTCCATAGAAAACCTGCGATCAGGGACAGGCGGGATTTCAGAAGAGCCCTCGGGGTGGTGCTGTCTCGAAGCTCAAGGTACCCGACGTCTCTGCGTTACTATACCTTATGAAACAATTCCTGGGGAGGCTTGTCCGAGGGGGGTTGCCGGGGGGGTCGGATCCTTTTAGGGTTGTCCGTTGTCGGGGCCGTGTTGTCTTGCCGGTACTTGCACATATCATTATCATACACAACATCAAAAGCATGGCACAACCAGGGAATCCCAGCTTGAAATGTCGCCTCTCTTTACTCCTTCCCCTCCTGTCCGTTTCTCGTCTCTCGTGTCCCCCTTCCGCTCCCGTTCGCACGCCCTCCCTTACCGCGCGTCCCGAAACAGCTGTGCTGACTGTGTTCGTGTTGCGGTAGAAGCTAGTTCTGGCCAAGAGGCTAGCGCTCAGAGACATCCGGCAACATCGGGGGTAGCTTGGCCAGTTTCGCCAGAGACGTCCTCGCAACTCTGGATTCGGAGATGCCCTGAACTAGGGTGGTCTGGTCAGTTTGGCTTGACACATTCTTGCAATTCTGGGCGCGAGGCGGTCCAGTCGGTTTCGCCAGAGACATTCTCGCAATTCTGGGCTCAGAGATGTTGCGTGACATCTTCCGGCCAGTTTCGCCTGAGACAGCCTCGAAAGTTTGGATTCAAAGATGCCTTGACCTGGAGCGTTCCTTTGAGACGTCGTCAGATGCTGCGCGTGAGATGGTCTGGCCAGTTTCGCTTGGGACGACCTCGCATGCCTGGGTTCGGAGATGCAGCGTGCGCGGCCAGTGTCGCCTGAGACGTCCTCGCATGTCTTGGCTCCATCTAGGCTCCGATCTGACCTGACCTGAGGTGGTCTAGCCAGGCTCGTCTGCGATATGCCGCGCACAAGGTGATCCAACCAGTTTCGCCAAAGACGTCCTCATGTTTCTGGGCTCGGAGATGCAGCGCGCACAGCTAGCGTCGTCTAAGTCACCCTCGCAGCTCTACGCACCGAGATGCCCTCATCTCAGTGGTTCGGCCAGTTTCGCCCGAGACGTCCTCGCAACTTCGGCCTCCGGGCTGCCACTTGCGAAGTGGTCTGGCCCGCGTCGCCACGGACATTCTCGCACTTCTGAGCTTGGAGGTGCCGCGCGAGAGGTGGTCCAACGAGTTTCGCACGAGACATCCTCGCAACTCCGGGTTCCGAGATGCCTCGCGCTAGCGGTGGTCCAGCCTGTTCCGCCTGCGACCCTCGCAACTACGGGATCAGCGACGCCGCGCGCAATGCGGCCTTGCCAGTTTCGTTTGAGACAGTCCTCGCAATTCTGAGTTCCGAGATGCCTCGCGCGAAGTGGTCTGGCCAGTTTCGCCAGTGGGGCTGTCGGGCTGCCGGGGGGCATGCCGGAAAGCTCACTCCAAGCGTGCCCGCTCGCTTGCGGCGCACGTTGCCTTGCCCACGTTGTGCCCCAATTCGGATTGTGCCAGTGCTGGGTCGTGCATGAATGAGCGGCTGCTGGCGCGCGGGCAGGCGCTACTCCTTCTCGGTGACTTGCGCGTCAATGGGGGCAGCGCGCTGAAGTTGCATGTCTTGCTAGGCAGCGTCGCGCGCAGCTCCCGCAGGCCCCCGATTGACCATCGCCTTGCAGGGCGCCCGCGGCTACGCGCTGCGCCTGTTGCCCACTTGTCAAAAAACCCCAATTCTGATTACTCGAGAGGGCCATTCCCGTTTACTACTTTTGCCGAGAAGTTTCTTGCGCGCGGCATCGCTGGCCCCCTGCCGACAGGTCACATATTGGCCCGGCTCAACGAAATGACGGAATTTGCAACTCGTTTGTCATAGTGGTTTTCGTTTTTGCGCGTATCTATCAATTTTTGCACGATGTTTCGTTTTCGCTGTTGTACCGCTAAGTTACCAATGCAAGCCTCCAAGTGGGCGCGCGCATGCCATCATAGAGCACATACAACAGAACCCATGCTAGTTTCAAAATCAAGTCGGTCACCGTTAAGGGCGCACTTTATTTTCCAAGCCAAGATGCCGACTTTTCTGTTGCGGACCATGCAAAGTTCCCAACGTGCGCGCGCGCCATCATAGAACGCATAAAACAGAACGCATGGTAATTTCAAAATCCCATCGGCCACCGTTAAATGTGCATGTCAATTTCCAAGCCAACATGCGTTGTTTCTAGTGTGGGCAAAACAGAACTTCGAACGGGCGCGCGCGCGTGCCATCATATAACGAATACATCATATTCCATGTTACCTTTTTAAAAACCAATAGATCAACGCCAAGGGTTCGGTTCAATTTCCAAGCCAACATAGCATCCTTTCTATTGTGGACAACACAGAACTATTGTGGACAACGCAGAACTCCCAGCGGGCGCGCGTGGGCGCGCCATCATTGAGTGCACACAACAGAACCCATGTGAACTTCAAAATCAACCCGATCACCGCTAGGGGTAAACATTCGCTTCCATGCCAACATGGCGACGCTTCTGTTGGGGATCACACAAAACTCCCAACGGGCGCGCGCGCCATCGTAGAAACACATACAACAGAACCTATAGTTAACTTCAAAGTCAAATCGGCCACCGTTAAGGCTTCACTTCAGTTTCCAAGCCAACATGGCGACCTTTCTATTGCGGACACCACAGAATTCCAGACGAGCGCGCGCGCGCGAGTGCCCTCAAAGAGTGCATAAAACAGATTCCATGTTATTTTCAAAATCAAATCTGTCACCGTTCAGAGGGCACTTTAGCTTCCAAGTCAACATGGCATTGTGGTCAATCATAAATCTATCAACGGGCGCGCGCGCGAGCCATCATATAGTGCATACCACAGAACCGATGTTCAGTTCAAAACCAAATCGGCCGCTGACACGGGTTCACTGTAGTTGCCAAGCCATCATGGTGGTTTTTCTTTTGATGATAATAAAGACTCCCAGCGGGCGCGCGCGCCATTCTATAATTCATTCAACAGAACCATGTGAATTACTTGGCGCGTTGGCCTGGAAACTAAGGTCGCCATGTTGGCCTGGAAACGAATATGAATCCTCAATTGTGGCCGGTTGGACTTGCAATATAACGTGGGTTTTGGCGTATGTCTTCGGGCGTCTCCATGCGATGAAATCCGACGCTGCGCGACGCGCTGCGGCCTGCGAGCGAACGCCCGAACAATGAAACAACGAAGGGCGCGCCACGTGCGTTTACCGCGCGGGCGGCGAGACCCTGATGGGCGCGGCGGCATCGCGCACATCAACGGTTGCCGCGCGCTCATGAGCGAGAGCCCGTCGCCGCACAGGCATGGGCGCGCGGTCGCGCGGGAGCGCGCGCGCGCTGCGCGGCTCCCCGCGAGCGCGGTGGCGCGGGAACGGGCGAAGGGGGGCGGAGGGTTCGCGGGCCGCGCGGGCATTCGCAGATTGGCCCCAGCACGCTTCGGACTTCTAGATCCAATAATTTTCCAACTGCATTCGTTTTCGTTGTCTTAATTCATATACTTCAAAGTCGCACTCGTTTTCGTCTTGCCGCACAAGTGCCCGCGGGAAGTGGAACGTGGGATTGCGTGCTCGGGTTCCCGCCAGGCCGGCGGTCAAATCGCAGCGTGGGCACTCCAGGAGGTTGTCTTGGAGACTGCACGCGTGAACGAGTTGGCCGCCATCAACTTACGGAGGGTCTGGCGGGACCCAGACTTCGCCCAGCGAGATGCAGGCGGATTTTTGGACGGCGGGCCGCAACACAGCACCTTCGCTGCTCCGCCGATACCGTTTAGCAACACCCGCCCGCTTCGGCATGTCGTGTCGGGCATTGGGGGCGTTATTGGCGGGTTGCAAAAGACACGTTGATTTCAAGTGTAGTTTGCGGGGGGGGGGGGCGCTTGCGAGCGAAGGAGGTGGGAACGCGGGCGGCCGACGCGAGAACGAAATGCGATGAGGACGAAGCAACGCGCGAAGAATACAAACGCTGACGAGAAACGAACAGTAGCAACTAGTAAAAACGCGTGGGTCTGAAGTAGCAGAGCGAACCAGAAGAGGGGGCCCTACCCGTAATCAGAAAAACGAGATAGGGTTGTCCAGGGGGTTGTCCAGGGGTTGTCCAGCCTCTGCTTCCTCCTCCCCCCGTCGTCCTCGTCGTCCTCGTACTCATGTTCCTCCTCGTCATCACGCGGGAGAAGCGTCGACGACCGCCGCGACAAATTTCACATGGTTCGCCGCGTGCGTGCCAAGGTGCGCGGGGACCATGTCAGAGACCACCGTTCCGAGGATCACCGTGACGTGCCGCTTGCGAGCCGCGTCCTGCAGGAGGTGATCCAGGCACGGATCCCATGAGGAACACTGGGGCACGCCGCACACAAGCTGCGTCCCATGGGAGCCCACTGGGGGACCGCCGCAGCAGCAATCACAATTGAGCGCTTGCGGGGGCCGCAGCCACAGGGGCCACGATCACCCACCACGAAATTTCACCAGCACGTGGAGTTTGTCAGCGACCGCCACGCCGCCTCCTCGTTTGATACAATCACCACAGCGATCTCCCCCTGTCGTCTTCCCTCTGTCCTCTTGTCCTCCCTCCCTCCTCTCCTCCCTTCCCTCCCGTTCGGCTCCGACGGAAAAGGAAGACAAGGAAGGAGGGCGAGGAGGGGCCAGAGAAGGAGGAGGAGGAAGAGGAAACGGACCACC